ACCATAACGATTCTATGATTCTATTCTAACTAACTGCACAGCCAGATTATCAGTGCAAGACTGCAAATTTGTAATTCTTTCCCCTCCTCACATTACAATGACACAAAGATCATTGTAACAAACTTAAAAGTTGTAAGTTTTAGGGTAACAAGAGCTGTATTAGAAATCTGGAAATTCCTTTTAAAAAAAAAATCATTAAATAACAATACAACTAACCTGATAATCCAGATTTTTCCAGCATTAAACGTAGACACTGAAAAAAGAAACATACGGTGAGACTTGTCTCAATGCATGGGTTGCGAAAAAGTTTTCAGCAAATCTACACTAGAATTTTCTAAGATAAAGACTGACTGACTCCGCTCAATTCCTAAAAACAATATAATTACACAGATGTGGAGTATTTGAGCTATATATTAACCCCCCAAGTATGAGACTGTTTTCAGGCACGAAATTCATTACATCAGGTAAGTCAGCTTTTACAAACTGTTTAGAAAAAAAAAAAAAAATCTGTGCTGTGTTTGTTGCTTTACTGGAACAAATCCTGTCCCAGAGTTTGAAGGTGCACCTTTTAGAAATCAAACCTGCAAACTCAACACTTTCCAGCCACTACTCGTAGACACTGGCACTCCGTGCCAGAAAAATGGATTGGCAGTATCAAGAACTGCTTCTTTTGCTCTGTGCACAGTTCTTCCTGACTCCTCTCACTCCAATTCTATGCATTCAGAGTCTGGTGAACTACAAGAGAACTGTGGCAAGCTCTGCCATGACTGCGTATCATTCTGAAGACTGCTGTGTATAAAAGAAGCGGCTAGCCATGCACGAAGCAGTTGGGCTATGCTCATTCTTGGAAAAAAAGTAAGGATATCTCTTTACTGCTTGGTGAAAGATCAAAGCATTCTTCGTGCTGTCTTTTTGGAGCTGAAACAGAGTTCCTTTGCCTTGGTGTCTCCTGGTAACCTGAAGTGATGCACAGGTATAAGGCAAAGTTCTCCAGGAGCAGCAGACCTGACCCAGGCATGACAAAAGCTTTTAAAAGCAGCTAGACTTACCTCTTTGACGGAGGCAGTCTCTTCCACAACTATCTCCATCTCCGGGCTTGCGTTTCGGTCACTCCCAACAAAAAAATACAAGAAAAGCTAAAAATGCAAGTATAAGCTATCAGAATACATATTTAAGCATGGAAATATTGTGAAATAACACTCCCTGTCATCAAACAGCACTGAAACTCCTTTGGGCTAAAGAAAACAATCTAAGCAGTACAAATAGAGAAGCACATGCAACTGAGTTACAGCCATCGGTAGAGCTTCATTAACCACCTGTACATGTCTGCCGCAAGGGAGAGATAAAACCCCCTAACACTCTGATCTTTAGAAACATACAACTATTTATTCTCTTGCACATTTACAACTTGTAGATACCAAAAGCAATATCCCCCTTTTCTTACTTCATGCTCTTTACAAGAGCACATACACACCAGAGTACAGAAGCTGGACAACCACAGACAGACAAATGATAAATGATTTACCATTAGTCATATGAGCTATATTAACTGGTCATACATATGCTCTTGGCCTTCTCCAACTGAAATAAATGGTGTGAGTCTTCATGCTGATATATATAATTCAGTGTCACCGAGTATTTTTTCCCAGGCCATTTACAACCATTACAAGAGTAAAAAGAGGACTACATGAAATATTGGGAAGTCTAAACAAAGCATAAAAGCAGCGCGAGACTTTTTTCAGTCACAGCACTACCATACCTGAGTGGAAGTTGGGGCTTTCCCATGACACAGTCCTAGCAAGCTTCCCATTTTCAGTTCTGCTTCCTTGACAGTATAATCCTCAGGCACTTCAGGGAGGACAAAACCAAGGAGAATATCATAAGCTGATGCTTCCTGAAAATATCCATTCTATTATGCTGTTCTTTAGAATAAGACAAAAACGTTCAGTGACATTGAGAGAGCTTCACTACCAAAGTGTTGACAACAGATCTGTAAGCCTCCTATGACAAAAGCAAAGCAACATTTGTGTAAAGGTTCCTCCCCACCAGCGAGGGTGACAGAATAATTTAGGTTGGAAGGGATCTTTGTAGGTTGTCTGGTCCAAATCCCTGCTCAAAGCAGAACCAGTTCTGAAGCTGGACTCCGCGCTTTTTCCCCGTCAAGCTCTGAATACCTCCAGGACGGATAACTCCCAGCCTCTCAGGGTTCCCTGTCTATTGTTTGACCACTCCCAACATGAATCCCCTTTACCCCCGACTATACTAGCTGGAATTTTCCTCACTGAAACCTGTGTTTGCTGCCTCGGATCCTTTCCATGTGCTCCTCTGAGAGGAATGGCTCTGCCTCCTCTACAGGTCCATGTTAAGGAGTTAAAGATGGCAATTACCCCTCCTCCCCTCAAGCCTCTTCCTCTTCAGGTTGGAAAAACACAGCTTTCCTCCTCTCTCCGATGTTCCAGCTCCCAGACCATCCTGGGTGCTCTCCTCTGGACTGGTTCTCATTTGTAAGGGCTGCTTTCTCATGCTGGGGAGCCCCCAAAATGGACACAATACTCCAGATGTTGTCTGATAAGCACTGAATGGAGGGGAATTAATCTCTCCTTGGCTTCCTGGCCGTTTTTTACTAATGTAATATATTAGCAAAATATATTAGTACAGTTATATAGTGACAGATGGCATCACATGCTCATCCAAATCAAAGAGCAGGCTATGGCACGAACGTGTTCCTCCACTCTTACAGAAGGAGAAATCCACACGTAATTCAGTGTGCTTCATAAACTACAGACACAAGCTGCCTTCTCACAATAAACAGGAACCTAACAGTGCTTGCTCCATCACCACAGGACTCAAGTTTGCTGCTCAAGCTGTTCTGAAATCCAACCTTGCTTATCAATACTCTAACAAACACTTTTAGTCCATTTTGTTTCAGGAAATGTAAGTTACAAAGATGTGGAATGACGACTCTGCTTCCTGGAACATCTAGAAAGTTGCTCTGTAATGTATTAAATATGATTCAAAACAGATCATTTAAAGACTTCTCAATTTATAAAATAATTATGGGAAACAGAACTTTCTGTTAATTCCCACAGTCTTGAAGCACATGGCCAGTGGTCAATAAACAGCAGCAGGTATGCTAATCAGTTTTACTCATTAGGAATGCAAGTAATAAAACCAAGCCGAACACTGAAGTTTAACCTGTAGCTTTGTATTGGTATTGTTAATAAACAGTAAAACTGGAAAAAACCCCACCCACACAACCGCTTCATTTAAGCCTGGAAACTAGCGGAGTTATGTGTGTGTACTTCTCCCAGGAAAGGGCAAAGGGAAGCTTAAAGTTTCCCAATTGAACTTCTTCCAGAAAGATGATTAAATAAATAAATTTACCTGGAGAAAGAAGTTTCCCATTTCCACTAACAGGTCTAAGACAGCTGTCATTTGCTGTAACAAAAAGGGCAGGAAAGAGAGATAAATGTATTCAGTAATTCAAATAAGAAGAAATTTGGCTCAGAACTTTAGACAGATAACTTAAGATTAACAACAACAACATGTTTATCTTCGAGGTCTCCCTCTGGAAGCATTACATCAAAAGTACAATTGGAGAGAGATTCCTAGAGACTTCATGAACAGTCTTCGTTTTCATCCTTTCAGTGAAAGATTACTTATCTCTTTGAAGCCAGCTATTAGCCACCAACAGTAAAATACTCTAAAACTGACCAAGTGCTTCAAAAGGTAAAGGCATCGACAAAAGCTTTGAAGAAAGAAAACTGGAGTGTCTTAAAGAAAGGAATAAGGGAAAAAAACAAACCTTCTTAAATTTTTAATGTAATACTTTAGTAAGGTGACATGATTATTCCTATTAAAACAGCTTCTGAGAAATACCTTCATAAAATGCATTTTAATCAAGACTTACAGCAATTTTTTTTAAGTCTTGAATAATAGTAATTTTATTCAAAATTAGATTAATTTTAAGTCCTTTGCATCCTCTTTCATCCCCAAAACACTGCCAACAGCAATGGACTTGCTGTTTTGAATAGAGTGATGCAAAAACAGGAAGATAACCAGTAAATTCTAACATTATCAGATGTAAGAGTAAAGCGGCTGAAGACTTACCTAGTTCTTCCTCCAGCTGAAGCTCCCGTATTGCTTTCATTTTGATATCTGACATCACCTAAAAGAAAGCAATATTAACACCTCCAATACAGAATGTCAGTAACACACCTGCTAAACAATCCACAAAAGGCAGTCTTCACTTGAAACGCATCCTAGTCATGTTCTTATTCCTGTTAACACTACGCGCAGCTGAGAAACATTGCTCTAACATTATCATACCAAATACTTAGAATAAATAAATGTACTGAGATCATAACACATTTGTGGAAATTTTTCTTAAAAACAGCATTCCAAAGAAAAGAAAGTGGTATTTAATTTTTGGATTTATCAAAAGACTGATTTTTCACAAATTGTAATTTTGTGAGCAAAACTAAGTAGTACTTCATATTTTCCTTAATAGAAAATAATTTAGGAGGCAGAAAAGGTACCAGACAAGTTCACCTCTCAGGGAAAACCAGTATTGTTTCCTATCCTATGTTGAAAGCAAGAAATAATACTTTCCTCCTCTTTTACCTTTTGTTTACTGACATAGCCTCACCAAACATACATTTACAAGATGGTCCAAAAAAGTAAGTTTTTCACACTAAAACACACTAATATAGACTGCACTGGTTTAAGTTACCAGCTTTACAGTCTTATTACACAGCAGTCAAAGTATTGCAGTAACAGTAACTCCGAGTTGCACAGTATTTTCATAACAGAAAAACTTCAGCTCTAAGGTCAAATCCACTCCTCATTAATTGGCCCAAGTGCACCAGCCAAGCTTTCCAGCAAAACAGCTTGTGTTATATCCCTGAACAAACAAATTCCTTACTGTTTCAATAGTGGCAGTAATTTTAACGTGTTTCCCTTCATCTTCCGTTCTGCAGAAGTTTTTAACTTGGAGCCAGCTGATGTCATATGTAAAAGCAGTCAGATTGCCACTTGACACATCCACGAAGCTGTAAAAATGAGCAGTGCAAAGATGGTCAAAGACAGGAAAACTACACATTGTCTGGGCTAGATGGCTAAATAGCAAAGGTCTCAAATAAACCAATAATGCCTAGGTCATCAATAGTGATGGCATGTCACAGAGTAAGAGCCAGAGGCCTCAGGCAGCATCCAGGCACCTCTGGGCTGGTTACTGAACAAACCAGTAAAAACTATGTTTTGCTAACTGGCTTTCGATGGGACATGAGCTTCTGAAGGCACTTCACAGTTTAAGTCACTTTCTGAGGTTGAATTTAAAGCTTCTGGAAAATATACTGTAAAAGCATACCTAGTCATAACTAAAATTTGAGATTTTCTTTGTCTCTCCGCTACTGTTTATAAACACAGAAACAGTTTTTCATTAAGAACTCTCTAACTGCTTGATTTAATCTCAATTTTTCAGTACTGTTTCAACTAGGAAGTCAGAATTTATGTAACAAGCACATATACATGTCTCCGAAAAAGGGAATCTAAACTAAGGGCTATGCACTGGGAAGTGAAGTGAGACCAGAAATTTGCCCCTGGCAACTTTAGATTCAACTGGGAGCTTCAGCAGAGCTGTTCCGATACTGCTCTGTTCTCTCATCCCACCAACTCTCTCGAAGAACGACACCATACAAACCTCAGAAATGCAGGTTATGCCAAAGATATGCCAGCACACTGGGCACAAGTTGTTCTCGCTAGGTTTCTCCCTTTACAAGTGTAAGACAAAGGATGTGACTGCATCTGCACTTCGAGAGCAAAGAAATATCTAGTAGTTGGCAAGTACCTGATCTCCAAAACCTAAGATTACACTACCTTGAATTAAAAAGCTCAAAGTGACAATTAGTTAAAAGAATATATACACAACTAGCATAATTTTAACTAAACAGTTTTTGCCAAAATTGCTTTTTTCTTTAATTATACTTGTACTCAAAATGGTTACCTCTGGTCATGGCTGTCTAAGATTAGTACTGAGCATCCATCCATCAGACCAACACTTTTGACCGTTTCCTTCATATCTTCTTCAAGAAAAACTTCCCAGTTCTTGGCTTCTTTATCTGGTCCTGAGCTGTTCTTTAGAATGATTCCCCCTGACGGTGCTAAGGCTTTGTGCAGATCACCCAGTTTTGTGCTGCATGAAAAGACATGCTGCGATTCTGTGAAATGCTGACCCTTCCCTCCTTCGTTATACTCCACTAAACGAAGAACGTTTATGACCACAGGTTCATGATCAGGGCCTGTCATCACCTTTGTACCACCAACCTGAAGTAAGGAATGCAAGATTTATGCAGTGGTGATCAATAAAATACAAAAGAGACTGCACAGCAATAAATGACAATAAAATTGAGACAAAAAGATGGAATCTCTCTCCTCGTTAGAAATAAATCCCCTTTGACCAAATGCCTGCTGAATAAAGAACTAGGGTAACTCAAAGGTGTTGGGAAGAGAAAGCATAATGGTCTGTTCTAAGTCTGCATGTAGACTAAATACATTGGTAGCACCAGCTGGGAAGCCAGCGGACACTTGGTCCCCATCAGATTAAGAACAGAGGAATTTAGCACCTCAGGATATTAAAGAACTACCCAAAAGTGTCACTGAAGCAGATCAAAAGAGTTAGATTTTTAAATGTGGCCTTTCGAACATTCAGCCTGGGCAAGGAACCATATTCTTTGACTAAGACAATTTAATCACGCCGGAAGCTGGAGTAGTGAAGACCATATCAAAAGTATAACCAAGACAAGAACGACTCTGTTACCAGATGTTTTCTTCTGGTTTTCTTCTTTTTTTTTTTTTTGATAAATCAGAAAGAAAATGCATACCTTTACAACAAAAATATTTTACAAGTAATATTTTATTCCATTACAGAGATGGAATAAAATGCTGTGCTACGTAACCACTGAGGCAAGCGTTTGAAAGTTAAGCAGATGCCTTAGGAAGATGCCGCACTAGTATTGCGGGAGACCATACACAGAAGTACTCATTGACAGGTATAATTTTATATGTGAAATGATTCACTACAGGGCATCAGTTTTTGCTATTGCGTTACTATCAACTGATCTCCTTCCAAGAGGCACCAGATGTTTTCAGAATATACTCCAATGTAACCGGCATTGGGCATCTGCAGGCACTTATCAATCTGACCATATTGCATTCTGCATAGTTTAATTCTATTTATAATTTTAATCAAGCAGCATAATGTATGTCACTCAAGACACACTGAGAAGCTGTAAAAACATAGTATCCTAGATGAGGCTGAAGAGGTGTCCCGAAAGCCAACTTTGGTATGTCAGCAGCACATCTGCAGAACAGATTGACATTTCCAAAAACACATCTGGAGATGGCATCTTGTCTCTTTAAAACTGACAAGGAGAGAGGGTATTTGGTTCTTTTACCTCCTTCCCATTCCACACGAAGATGTCTGCTCCATCAGCCAGCCCAATGCCCTCCAGTGTCAGCTCATCTCCTAAAAGGGAGCAAATCATCAAGTTCTCACCCCCCACAAAACAGACAAGCAGGGTCAGCGGGTAAACCGAAATACGCTAGCACATTCTACTCTGCCTCAAGTGTATCATTAAAAAAGCTACTGTGCGGTCAGCATTTCCAGTGGGTAAGTTAGGGTTCACTTGTGTAGCAAGAGCAACACAAGTGGGTACACATCCCTACAGCACTCGCACCGAGTAGAGGGCCGCAGCACAAAGGTTTCAATTCCATTTCCCTTGCAAACCGAGGCCCAAGTTAACATCTGGCAAAGCTACTTGGTCAGGATTATCTATACGAGATTTAACAGTGAACCAACAGATCTAAAATAAAAAGGTTGGATTTAATAAATGAGTTACATACTGTACATTCCAAGCCTATCCTTTGAAATACTAATGCCCAAGTTGCAGTTTCTTTTACCTTCCTACTGTAAGTCAGATTCAGATTTTTTTAAAAGTCATTGTCATTTAAAGAACTATACTAGCATCTGGAGGAATTTTTACAGCAGCTCTGAGTGCCTCTCTGTGTTGATGCCAACATCATGGAAAGTTGGGTTATGTTCTGGTAGAACCCTAATTTTTTGAAACAGACCACAAAGACTATAAAATTTAAAAATGGCTGAACAGGCTTTTGAAGATAAACACCTAGAATTGTGTAACAATGCAAAGCTGGAGATAGAACTCATGATTTTAAAATACTAATGTACTCTTAATAAATTAATGTACTCTTTATGTAAGCATTTTTCTTTTTTAAAATTCCTACTTCAGCTTAGGTCTAACATTTTTCTTTGATGTCACTGTGGCTCTTCTTTTCTATCCTCTCCTCTACCTACTAGGTAAATACTATGAAAGCAAACATTCATAAGCAAATCAAGGTCAAAATACAGCCTGCTGTATTTTTGTCAGCAAATGTGTTTAACTTGCATAAGATCTGCAGTCTTACTGCACTTCACAAGAAAGATTACATTTATAAAAGTCTCAAAACCCTGCTTTTCACTAATAAGAGTGTCCTAAATAACAGCAGTGGACTTGTACCTAAGTTTGAGGTTGAAAAGTGATCACTACACATCTCCAAGATGTTTTACGTATGAAATCCTTGATGCCTGCAGTAAATACAACATACAAATAACACGGAAGCCTTGTATATGGTAGCCTTACCATCAAGTATCTGGTAAAGATGCAGTCCTGCTGGTAAATGCTTGGCAATAGTGAGAATCATGTCTCCTTCCCAAGATTCCAACATCTAATCAGAAAGAATAAATATATACAAAAACTAACAGCAAGCAGTAACTCGCATCACTCAAAGTTACAACTTTGCTGAAAACTGTTACAGCCTGGCTACCAAGCTCACTTTGACATTTAACAAGTCACAGCTATTTATTTCCACGAGGCTAGTAACACAGGCAACAGCCAAGCCTTTAGGACTCAGCCTTTCAGACTAGTCACCAGACAGACAAAAATGAAGTTTCAGCTGGACACTAACCAAAGGTGGTAAGGTACAGGAAAAGCAAACCGTGTTTCCTGACATTAAGTTAGCTTTGATTTAGATCTCTATAAAAAAAAGCATTTTACAAAATGTCATATTCCTTTAACATAGTAGAGAATAAATGCAAAGATACCACATTCAATAGTTAAGGTAAATACTTCTTTTAACTAATTTTCTTTTTTCTTAAACTACTCTGATTATTTCCTTTAAAGGGCAGCTAGCTCCTTGAAAATACAAAGACAAATCTGTCACAAACTGAAATGTTAAGAATAAGCTTGGAGTTTTGCAAAGTGTCAATCCACGCCCATGTACATGCTGCCCAAATATAAATACATAGCTTATGAGAACTTTCAAGTATACATAAAGTTTCTTCAATTTCATGGCTTCTTCAATACTTCAAGAACAGACCTCAAATCAGTGTTTCTTTCTGTATAAACCCATATAGTTTTTAGCCTCCTGAAATTGCATTTACTCTTGAAAATTTCTCACCGAGATGAAAACTGTGGCATAAATAAGCATGTAAATGTTGTAGCTCAAGTGAAAATGAAGTGTTTGAGTTAATTTAATATAGCAAATACCTGGAATACCGATTGTCGAAGGTCTCCTAGCGTTTTTCTTCTATCCATAGTCAAATCCACAACACTCTCTTTCCAAGTAAGGGAAGGATGCAGAGCCCCATTGTGAAATTTGTAACGCGAGCTCAAATGGAGATGTAAATCAATGCCATTGTTTGCCGAGTCACATTCCGCTCTTTGAAAGAATAAAACAATAATAAACTGGTGAATTTAACACCTGACAAATGGCTAGCTTATTTCAGAGATGCTTCTGTGCAGTTGTCCTGGAACTCATACCCTCATGGCTAAATTCACTGTCGTGTTCCCCCTTCCATCAAGGGGTATGCAAAGAAGGTGTTCAAAGATGACAGTGATTTACATGTTGTACAATATAGAGCTAGCGTAGACATTCTCCACATAAGCACTGTAACTGTACGTTCTGTGTGTTTCTATACCTTGCTTCTACCTTTCTAAACAGAATGATGAACTTCACCTTTAGGGATGCGGAGATTGTAGGTTTTTTCAGGCTGTGTTCCAGATCAGTACACTGTTGAAATGCAGAGACAGAAAAACTACAGGGAAACTAAGTCAGGACAGAGACAGCCATGCCTTTTCCTCTTTTATATCTATACCCAGTTCTATTAGCTAAATTTAGCAACAAATACACCATTTAAAAAAAAAATAAAGGAGTGAAATTTGCACAGTACAGAAATATCACACAAGACTTGTGTTTCTTGTGTGCGTCTATATTTTGATAGCTTAACTGTGATTCAGGTCTATCATCAGTTCTGTGTGTTCCCCAACAGAAGGAAAAGTTTCGACCAATCTGAATACCACTAGCTCCTTTCTCCACGTTTCTGGGAAAGGATACCATTTATCTGGTATTTCACTGTAAAACAAGTTATTCCCCCCTTCTCCCAGTGGAGAACTCCCTTTATAACATAATTAAGATAACATATTTCATTCTCCTTCCAGAACTGCACTGATTTTCACCAGAAAATGGTACAATTTTAAACTGTAAGTTTTCCTTGAAATTCTGCAGAACGCCTAGTTATGCCACTAACAGGGAGGCAGGGAACCAGTAGAAGGCTGAATCTGGACATGAAAGTCGTAATCCTCAATTAACTTCTATGACATCGAATCATTTTAGTATCTGTCTCTACCCAATGAGTTTGTTTCATTTTAAAATCACTTCAGAGATCTGCAGATTAAGAATGCTGTTTGAGATTGGTACAGTTACATTAATATACCTCTTTTTTTGCAGCTCAGTATTAGCAGCATTCATTTCATTCAGAAGGTGTTCAGGAATTTGGTACCTTGGATTTCCTCGCGCTGCAACAAATAATATAGGCTAGTTTGGCCTCAGCTGCTTAAAATGTGTTTTGGCAAACAAGAAAAGCGATCAAGATGAGACATTACAGTACGGTAATCATTGAAAATTCAGAGCAATAACGTTGCATCCTTTCGTAAAGAGAGAAAATTAAACTGCAAGATGACACAAAGAACAAACAAGAGCTTTTACTTCTTCCCATCAATTCTTCCCTGAGGGGAACTGATACGCGAGTGCCGTTAGCAACAACTTGTATTTGTTTCAGTAGGAGATGTTCTGCCAGTATTTGTGAAGTGCACTAGGAAAAAAGTTAGCATCAGCTACAGTCAATTAACTGGTCACTACCTCCTTGGAGGTAACCTCCATGTATCTTAGTTAACCCTTTTTTCAAATAAGCACTAAAAAGAGAACTGTATCTTCAAGTCTTGGAAAGGACAGAAAGGCCCAACAGCCTCTGACCTCCAGAAAACAAGCTGTCGATGAAGGAAGCCCCCAGAATATCAAGATGAGCTTTGTGTACCTTCAGGTGGTCTTTTTAACTCAGATTTTCGATAAAACAGCATGTAGGCACTCTCTTTACCCTGAAATTGTTTCTCAATATCCTGCTCCTTGATCGGCTGGACTTTTGAATCATTCAGATCAAACCAATGGCGACCAGCGGAACTGTCCCTTAGCCTTGTAGGTTTTTTTTCTGAATTCCACTGAACGTCATTCTTCTGAGGAGGGCTTCGGAGATCTTGTCCTTGAGAATCTGATTTAAATGGGAGCTTGCATTTCTCCTTCAGACCAACCTTATTTTCATCAGGACTGAACTGAAATACCTGAGGATGATTCTGCAAATACTAAAAGGAAAGCAAGGACAAGATGAAGAAGATATCCAGTTTTAAATATAGCAGACTGCATTAGCTACTTCACCTGATTCATCCTCAAATTGATACACAAACTCCATCGCTTCAAACTTGGTTTTATAACACTTCCTCACGTATTTCCTCAGTTTAGACAGAAAAATGTAATTTTCCTACCACCATTTATCTGCCTGATCTTTTATATACTATTGCTGGCTTTGTTTCTTATGTAACTTCAAACTAGCATGCAAGAAACGGCAAAAGAATTGCTTTCAACATACATGCATCACTAAGAATTCTACCAGACTAACTTCTGAATTTCAAGGATTGCTTGAGACACCGGAGTCCTTTCAAAACACTTCTCACAAGGGCATACTCTCTGTCCCTGGAAAGGTAGCACAGGGGAGATGCTCTGTAGGCAGTGAAAAAGCTTCTGCTTTATGAGACACACAGAGTACCATCCCAACAAGTTTAGCCCTCTAACATTGGTACTTTCTGCTTCCTAGACTCCGTAGGAAGTGCTCTCTTCTGTATTTACCAGACAGACAGGGATCTTGAGCTCAATTCTGGTCTGTTGAGCTGTACCTTACCCAAATTAACGCTACCCATTGTGGCATCTCAAGAACTTAAAACCTACTCACTCAGTTTTGCACAGCTTATCCACTCTGTTCTCTACTTTCATTTTAGCAGCATGCAGATACTTCAAACAAGCTTGGTGCTCAAATTACACAAACCAAAATTGTGGCTCTTGAGGGATGAGGGGGTAGACACCCCCTCCACTCCCCACCCCAAACTACAAAAACCACCTCACTCCCTCAAGAAAAAAAAAAATAAATCTGAATTTCAGTTTTAATCATAATCAAAAACTCATTTGATACTTCAAAAAGCATAAAACAATTTACAACTATTTCAATAAGGCAAGTCCTGCACTGATCAATGTGCTCTTGGTATAGATCCAGCACTTATGAAAACATCAGCTTTGGTGATATTCACAACAGCACTCAAACTTTGAAATGATTAATACTGGGTTGCTCACAACTTGTTTCTATCCCTTCCCTGTCAAAGTCAGAAAAGCATCTACCTCTGCAGGAGACTCACATCCAGATTTCACAACTACATTTAAATAATTACTGTGAAAACTGTGTTGCTAGCTCTATTAAAAAAAACAGTCAGACGTGAATTTTCCACATATCTATAACACAAATGCTTAAGCATTTTCCTTAAAGCATTAGAAAATACAGTAAGCAATTGGACAAACAAGATTTTACTGGAAGTATTAATCTATGAACATGCCCTAATCAACCAAAAAGTGGCATACGTTTTCAAAACCTCATTTCTGTTATGACTGTGAAGAGGTACTGTATTTCTCCTTTAATTCTCATCAGTGATTTTACATTCAAGTGGTAGTAGTGCTGTTGCAGCTTCATCCACAGACACAACATAAGGTTAATTTTTTTATAGGTCAACCATACAGACAGAAAAAAAGATACAAGCTTTCAGGCAGACAATCCCTTGAGAATCTTGTTCGTATTCCCAAGTCTACTAATTTATCTTACAAACCTCTTTTACACATGCTCTATCTTGCTAGTCCAAGGGCCAGTACTTTCAATTATCATCCTACTGACTATTCAATAGGAATATAAACATAAAGTTATCTTAACAGTAAAAAACAAACTAACATACACGCATACTACCTTTCGTAATGCTCCGTATTGTTTTCGGTATTTCTTATTCCAGGACACCCCTGTTTTCTCCAATAGTTTCTGCCCTAACTGATCCACAGGAATTTTAGATTCTTCCTACAGAGAAATTAAGAAGTAGGATAATGAAGGCTACAAGAGATCAATACAAAGAAGACAACTCTGAAGTGCTTAAATCATTCCTGTTTGTTAATAAACCAATGTAACATCACCTTTTGCAACAGCGTCGGTAAGCAACTTAAGAAATACTCAAAAAAGTGCCCTTTTCTGTGTCAAGAGCCACTATTAGTATTAAAGTCAGGTTAAGTTTTATATGCTTCACAGTAAGTTCGGAAGAGTTCTGTACACCTAAACCTGCCCACTCTTGCACACACTAACCCCTTCTTCTAGGTTCCCTAATATCAAAATCAAAGCAATGAATTTCTTACATACCATACCTCTGACAAAATCCCATTTAAGACTGCCAATGGATTTTCTGTTTCTTTGGCATTTTCGGTATCTCGCAAAGCCTTATCTTCAATCAGTCTATCCTCTTCTTCCTGTATAAGAAAAATAAACAAACTCATAAATACTGTTGTTTCACACACAACTAGTGGTTTTCCATTATAGTCTGTACTAACATCGGCATGCACAAATTAGAAGTGTGAAGGAAATTCTGATATTGTCTGTATATTGTCATGCAGATTTTTTTTTTTTTTAAAAAAAAAAAAAAAGGCATTTGCATTAGTTAGAAACAGCTAGCCAGAGTCATCCACTAAAATGACTGTGCTAGTTTTGAGCAAAGATATTAATTCATTTGGGAAAGAAAAAGTGAACCCGGTAACGTTAGATAGCTGAGCAGATCGGAAAGCTAAAATTTGCTAAAATCTTGATAGATATCGTATACTGTGGAAAACTAGCCTTCTCAAGGAGGTAAGAGACCAAATGCTTAACTAAAGTATTAACTAGTTTGGATGTACATTTCATCCACTATCTCTTAATACTTTCCTGAAAAATGCGACATATCAAGCAAGAAGAAAAAACCTTTAGGACTTACTTGTAATTGCCAGTTTCCTAATTCATCCACATCTCTGATATAAACATGATAGTGTCCTCCATAGCAGCCACCTTTATGTATAATAACAGAGAAGAGCTCATACATGTACTCTGAATCATCCATTTCAGTCTTTAAAAAGAAAAACAATAACAACAACAACAACATAGATCAGTAGGTCTTTCAGACAAGGACAGTTTTACACCATCAGCATAGCTTCAGATAATTCTCAGTGGGCAGAGATTGCAATGGCTTTTCAGTGCTGAGGAACACCAGTATGGACTGACACAAATCATGGACCAAGGTACAGGTTTATTAAGCATCCTTTTAAGCGTGATTCTGAACAATATTGGAAATTCAAAACAATAAAATATTGATGCAAATAATAGAATGGCTCAAACTGTTTGTTCATAACCAGGCTTATTTTGTTTAAAAGACTAGAGGAAAAAAAACAAGCAATGCATTTATATACACAAACCAAGTGAAAAAAACCGCAAACACTGAGAAATTTCCAAGCTTGCATTGCAACATTTCAAGAAGAAAAACATCCTTTTCAATAACAGTGTCTCTATTAAGTATATTCTTTATATATTTTAAGGCTCAAAAATTGTCATCAAGCAATGGTATAGCTCAGTTTATAATCAAAATACATATATATGAATGCAACGACAGATTCCTAAGAAAAATGAAATAACTGTAGGTACATAAAACATATATAGCTAAATTTATACATGACATTATCAGACAATGACAATACAAAAATAAATTTCAACTTCCAGGTGATAATCTTTCTTTTAAAGAAACATCAGATTAAGTTTTAGGTAATTATTACATCCTTTCCCTTTGTATAGCTACAAGTTAGAAAGCGGTCTTTTGGAAACAAATTGGAATTCCAAACATTTGGAATTAGGGACAAAGAAGAACGTGACAAAGTTTCTCAAATACCTTGCCCTGACAAAACGCAAAATAAAAGATAACTTGTCCTTGTGATATCCGTTCTCTGCTGAGTATATAGGAACTTTAACAAATACAACAGTACAAACCTGCTCACAAAAAGGCCTCAGATTTATCTGGATGGGGAATGTATAGCAGCTCGTTTCCTTGTATCGTTCACACTTCTCAAAGTCAAAGTTAAATCTCAGGAGAGAAATGGTGAGAAAGGGTGGCAGCTTGCGCAGTTTAGCAGACTGTAAAATGATTTTAAAAAATCGTAAGCACACATTTACAACAGAATAGTGTTTCCACCGGGTTATCGTCAACTCTTTATCTTCCAACAAAACTTCCTAACAACCAGGCAGACATGACCAGAGCCTTCATTTTTAAAATGTCTACCCTGCCAACTATACATCCTAGAAGCAATCAAGATCTTTCCCCTCTATTAAGCCCTACACTTTCCTTGAATGGTGATCACCAGTCCCATACTTTATCCTGCTACAGAAAACGAAGGAGGACATTGCTGAAATTCTAGTCAGTAATTACGTTTCCACAGCCCACGTGTTCTTTGTAAGAGGATTTTCTTGAATTTTATACAAAGAAGCAACTGCTTCAAACTCCTGGGTTTGTGCTTACGTGTGAAGTCAAGCTATATGGCATCTTCCCAGCAACTTTGGTCTCACCCCTTGCACAGCATCTGCCACCAACAATCCCACACAGACCCTGGGAGCCCAGAGAAAAAAGCACAAACACTCAAACTGCTGCCCGACAGCAGGTACTGCAGAAGAGCAACACAGCTTCGTGGTAGCTTTGCCATTCCCAGATGAACAGTGGGATGCTCAGCCTCTGATGCAGGTGTTGAAGCCACCCACCAGAAAAAAAAAAAGCTACAAAGAAAGCTCAAACTACAAATGCAGCCTACACACTTGCTTCTGCTGCCAGGAAAGGACCTCAACTGAGGCTGGGGATATTACTCTTCTGGTCCTTCCCAGTCATCTCCAAACACGGCGTTTGTACATCACCTGAGGTTTATTCCAAGGAACTTTGAGAAGTTTTGTAGTTCCCTGGGGTTGCGTGACCCCAAGTATAGGTCAGGGCTCATATAGGCACAGTGTTTTCAAACGTGGAAGTCAGAAATGATCCTATCTGTAAAATAACTGGGTCTGACAGGTGTATGTTATCCATAAAAAGAGGTCACTCCTGCATATATTTTGTGGCCTGTTGCTGAGCGACTATTGGGCTGCCTCCGAATGCAACAGAAACAGTCTGAAAAATTTCACCAGAATGTATCACAGTGCCATCTTGCTTAATATCTGCCATGCTACTTGAAGAAAAGGGCCTTGACCAAGATCTGTGGGCTACAGTAAATGAGCACAATGTTGTGCCCGAGTGGGATGGGGTAGATGTATCCTGGGAGCCCTTACAGCCAGCCACAGAACAACTAAGCAAGAGTTAAAAGTCTCCCTCATTTATACAGGAGAGGACCTTCAAGGCAGGAAAACCAATATAATCCATTTTAGTAAGGAAGAATATTAATCAAGATCAAACAGCTTGGTGTGTGAGCACATCAGGAACCCCGGAGTGAAGCAAAACCATCTTTTATCACCTCTGAACGTAAGCGTGGATTCAATGGACATGCTTCCGAGCCTTTCCAATATCTCCATCCAACTCTCCATTTGCAGAGCTGTAACAAAGAGCCTCCCAGGAACACACATCTGGTTTAAGAAACATGAAGGTTGTCCATTCACACCCCAGCATTCCCCAGCTATGATTTCTTACCCATATTCGGAGTTCCCACTGTCTTCTTGCATGTATCAGCACATTTGAGAGATAAGCAACTGTTATCTTGCACTCCCTTGAACCCAGCAAAGTTTATCTCAAACAAGCCCTTATAACTAAGCCACGTGAGGCACCGGCAAACGTTCCTGAACTCCTGAGTCACTAAGTAACTTCACTTGTCCTCAGTTTGCCTTTGCACCCACTCCCTTCCACATTAAGTGTGCTGCAAGATTTGGATTGCACTCATCCTGCCGCAGAAGAGAGTCACCACAGTAGCCCAAAAAGCTTTGCTGTTGTGAAGATGGCAGAATACCACTGAGTGCACCAATAGCTATGTTTGTTTCCCCTTTACAAAAACTAATGGGAATAACAGGAAAAAGGAGCAACTTTTTATCGGGAGGGGAAAAAAAAAAAAAAGAAAAAGAAAAAAACAACTTATGACACAGAAGGAAGACTTCTTTGTATCATTCTGGAAAAATGCAACTCAAAGACACGCACCTCTCAAAGCTCTCACTGGGCTGCTCTTCCCTGGCTAAAGGGATGGACGAGAAAACAAATAAAGGGTCTTAAATTTTAATACTATGTTGGGGAAACCAGTCCAAAGCGTCATAACAAACAGGGACAATCTTATCAGCATAACGATGCTGCAGGCTGCACTGACATACAGACAGTAACCAGCATTAACAGCCATGCCACCGTTTAATAAAGCACTCAGGGTCACATACATAGCTCCTGTGGAGGACATTAACAAGTGTCAAGCATCTGAAGCTTTCCCGAGGTGCCCAGGGGTGAAGGCAGGGAACTAGGCACAGTTGGACTTGATGATCTTTGAGGTCTCTTCCAACCATAATGATTCTATGATTCTAGGCAGACAAAGGACTACTCCAGTCTGGATGTCTCTGAGCTCCTGAGGACCACACCCAATAAACACCACAGGCTTAACACCAACAGTTCTCTGTTGAACACTGAGGAGCTCTGATGACTCTGTATAGGAAAGGGTCACTGCATTTGGCTTTGCAAGTAATTAAAAAAAAAACAAAAACCACAAAACCAAACACAACCCAAACCAAACAGTTCTAACCCATAGCTTTAAACTGAATGAGGGTAAATTTAGATTAGATATAACGAAGAAATTCTGCACCATGAGGGTGGTGAAGCAGTGGCACAGGTTGCCCAGAGAAGTTGTGGATGCCCCATCCCTGGGAGTGTTCAAGGCCAGGTTGGATGGGGTTTTGAGCAACCTGGTCTGGTGGAAGGTGTCCCTGCCCATGGCAGGGGGTTGGAACTTTAAGGTCTTTATGATCTTTAAGGTCGCTTCCAACTAAACCATTTTATGATAGCTGAGCACAGATCAAAGCAGTAAATCATTAACAAGAAGATTATGACACAGCAGCACAACTCAACAGATAAACCCTTCGGCTTCCTTCAAAAGCATCTTCACGCTGCAGCCTGAAGGAGATGACTTTCACAGCCCATACTCTGACCACAGGAACATGACTTCGAGGCTTTGCCATGCCTGGATTTTCACTCTCCTCCTGCCTGGCCTCTCAGATGGAGGGAAACTCCTGGTAGTGCCCATGGTTGGAAGCCACTGGCTTAGCATGCAACAACTGGTTGAAAAGCTCACTGAGAGAGGACGCCAAGTGGTGGTAGTTATGCCAGAAGTAAGCTGGCAGATGGGAACGACGCAGACATACACGGTGAAAACATACCCACTGTCTAACACATTAGATGAGCTGGATGGTTCCTTAAATGAATAAATTCTTACTCACTTGAAGGCTCTAGCAATACAGAACATGTTGAAAACACCTTCTAAGGTGTTAACTTACCACTGCAAAACCTCCTCAGCATCACGGAAACAACACAATACCTGGATCAACAGATCCCATTTCCCTGTGCAGATCAACAGTTGTTCATTATTTTTCTCTCCCATTTGGGCTCTTCATGAGAGAATTTCCATGGTTTTCTTCACTACATGAATCTGTTTATTTTTTCTTTATGGTCTAGTTTATCTTTCAGCCTATTCTCTGAAATGCCCAAAGCGAAGCACAGCAGAGGTGTGTGAATGAGGCAATACTCTCCAAACTACATGCCATTCCATTCACCATTGGCTAGATTAAAGACTGCAACAAACTAAGTCAAAGAATGAGTCACACCAGGTTTTCTTGCCACAGTTGCTGGGGTTTAAAAAAACATCAGATTTTGGCATCCTCTTGTTAGATACTGTCTGACTAAAGATATGGATATTTTTTATTTCAGAGTTACAGGGCAGACACAGCAATGTAAACAAAGTTCCCATCTGTTAGCAAACTGAACACTGAGAATCACCAATGCATTACCTTTGAAGCTTCAACAAGTTTATCACAGGCTCCGCACCGATACAAGTTCTCATTTTCAAAGTACTCTTCTTCCACATACATGTTCCACAGGGCCTCCTCCAAGCCAGTAACACCTTTTACTGCCACTGTTAGGTCTAAGAAATCTTCCTATGCAGAAGTACAACCCAAAAAAAAGAAAGGTAGTAAGTGGTGTAAGTTCACAATACTCATCCCATTCACCACAGCAGATGTAAGCATTCATTTTTCTTTCATTGCTGACAAGGCAAAAAAAACCCCATACATCCACAGAAGATAAATTAATTTAAAACCAACGCACTTTTTTTAAATTACAAAGAGCATTAAAGACTGTAAAGATATGTTTTACTGTTGTTACCTCACTGTTAGCACTCTGCTAACTGATCTACTAAAGGCAATGCTTGCCAACTCAGAAGATACAGTAACCATTTTTTTTTTTTTGTAAAAACACAAGTAAGCCACAGCCTGATGTAGGTGGTTTAAAAAATGCCAGTCGAGACTTAACAACAGTGTCATGCATAATTTTCACGTTTTCAAGTCTGCAGCGCACTGACCAATACGCACTACCTAGATTCAACAAGGCCACCAGTGATAGTCAAGAAAGAAGTTATCGTTTTTGGAGTTAAAAAAACCCAACATTTAAAGTATCTTCAACAGACTGAACAGAAAACTATCCAGAAAAATCGTCTGACTTTACCTGTCTCTCACTGATATTCTTGCATTCTTTACAAACAATCTGGTTGACAACAATCCCATGGTACAATCGGTTAATAAGGTCATGACCTGAAGTCCCCACAAGGGAAGTTTCCAAAGCACTGAACAGAATTCGATTTAATTCCTGCACATCATGTTGCCTCATCTCCTGCATGATTAAAAAAAACAAACTTGAAGAAAAAAAAAAGAGTGCCATCTGCTTTGCTTATTGCTTAAAAACAACATATATTAAGTGTGACAAAGACAGCTGCCTCAATGACTACCCATGTACTTACTACCTTGAGTAGTAAATTACTACCTTAATTATTATTTGTTATTCTTAATTTAGTTACGCTCTCTGAGTAGCTACATAAGACACTTTCACTTGGGTAGATTTAGACTAAACTCTAAAATGAGTTACGCAGTTCAATTTAGGTAAGAATCTAAGTATTTGAGGCCAAGAACCCTAATTACTGTTGGAAAAACATTCTTGTAAAATCAAAGGAAAAGCTACTGAAATCATATCTAACGGAACAATTTTCTTCTGTTGCTTGCTGTAAAAAATTGGCACGTACTTCATGTGGAGATACAATAGTATACAACAATACTTTACACAATTCAATGCTATCTGCACAGCTTGAAGTATTTAAAGACATTTCTTAAATGTCAAACTTAAAAAAAAAAATCTTCTCCATTTAGGAGAAAGTTTGTGTCATCGATGGCGATTTGTACCTCATGGCTGTTCCACCCGAAGCTCTCAGTAAGGTCTGTTGTAGATGCAGCCTGCTGGTCCAAGAGCAGAAGCTGGGCAAATAACCGTTGAAGTTGTAATGGAATTATGCGAACCTAGAAATAAAAAACAAAATATACTCAACAGATCAGAAAGAGTCTTCAAGTCAATCATTTAAATAAAAATAATTTAGTACAAAACTTGAAATAAATCACCTCTGTCTATGGATTTCATAACACAGGTTACTCAATTCACACTAAAGCAGCAGTCAGACTTGGTTCCCAAAAAATCTACAGTGCCTCACCTTACTCAGCCAAATACAGTTGTGGAATATATGTTTTGCAATAAAGCAAAACTGTACAGATTAAAATTAAGCCATCACCATAGTAAAAAAGGACAGCTTTCTCTGATATTTGTCATAATACTAAACCTTAAGAACTCAGCTACAAGACATCAGGACAAATAGATTTAACATGTGCTACTCCTTGCTTAGTAAAGGGTTTGGTGGTGGGTGGAATGAGATGGGAAGGAAAACAGTTAATGTCAACAACTTTCATCAGCTACCTGTATTTATCTTGGACTTAAAGAAAAAAAAAACTTTTCAAGCAATCAGTTGTGTCACTTTAACTTGAGAACTGCAGAATGAAATTCTGTAGTCAATTTTAGTATGCACTTTTCAAACAAAGATTAAATTCCAGTTCCATACCACCTTGTGCATGAGTAGGCTGTTAAACCTTCAGAGAGCCTCTGTGTAGTCATCTAGGCTGCACACATTTTACTGGTTTTTGTTGTTGTTGTTGTGTTTTGGTTTGGTTTTTTTTTTCCTCTCCTGGTGACAAAAAAGTTGTGGCACTGTAGCTTCAATTACAGAAGAGAAAAATCTAAAAAAAGGACTGTATGGAATTTGGGCTTGTTCCTGCTCTCCTTGAAGACAAAATGGTCTCTGGTATCGATTTCATCAGAAACAGGCTCAATATCTTACTTCTGAAGCAAAAGTTAACAGCACCGAAAACTTACAACTGTGTGAAAAATCGAGTATCTGGCAACCAAATTGTCTTTCAGTATCAAAGTTAGGCTTTCATTCATTCTCACAGAAGTTTCATATGAAACTATATTCTTCCAAATCAACACTCAGCAGTGACTACTGACAAATTTTACATACCTTGGCATCTGGTTTACTGCTATCATCCAGAGTCCCAAGTTCTTCAGGACCGAGAGAGAACAGCGCCTCTGTAATCATAAAGAAAAATGCCTATTTAAAAAAAAGACAATATTCCCTCTTTAAAGATTTATTGTATTTTAACTGTTAAGCAGTATGATGCTATTCTTTTTGGCAAAATAAGACATTAAACAACATTTCTGAACATCATTCATCCTTGCAACCGGTTCAAGTTATAACAGTAAAGCCGAAGTAAGCATGAAAGTGTTTAGATGGCAAAATATTTTTTCAGGAATTGTAATGGTTGCATTTAAAAAATGAATGACACTTTATAGACAGCAATAACTTCTCTTATTTACACAAACTGTAACTGTCCACCTGTAAGAAACGGTAATGTTTACAACAATACTCACATTTTGTGCAGAAGTGACAATACTGATTTTATAGATCAATAGCTCTGAGTATTCTGTAATAACTTATTTGAAGTGAACCAAAACAAACTGCTCCTGAAAACAATCTCTGCTTGCAGTGTTTCTTTAATAAATAACTAGAAATGCAAGTCACTGTAAAATAGCAATTCCAACACTATTTTAGGAGTATTTTGAACATGTTACCTCTAAATTCAGGTGTGAAAAGCAGAGTCTGTAGAAGGGAATTGAGGTAGCAGGTCCCACCTTGATTTTTGATACCACTTAGGTTGGTGAAATCCCTGGGAGCTGGAGGCTCAGAATCTCTGGGCTTTGATTTCTTCCCTTTTCCACAATGATTGTTTGAAATAAAGGAAAAATCCTCTTCAAATAAGTCGCCAAACATTGTGAAGGCAAAACAAGTCCTTTAAAATACAAAATAATCTATTTACTACAAGAAATGCAATTCAGTCCACCCACTTCTAATCCTCCAAGATGAACCTTTCAGCCCTGACTGAAGAATTTGTTTATAACTTTTTTCATCTTACTCTGTTCATTCTAAAAATGAATGTCAGATCCACACAAAAGTGTGCACTAATGTAATAAAAAAAGGCTGCATCAAAAGCATTTGTATTAGCACAGGTCTGGATAGACTTTTAACTAGAATCAAATACAGCACATGTTAATTTTGCATCAGCAAAAACATGTATAGCAAAATAAACAGGTCCTTCTAAACACCCATAATTAACTAGTGCTCAAGTTGCCCAGTTTCCTGCAGGAAAGGTAAGTAAGGCCTCTCAAACTCATCCAAATCCCTGCACTCTCTCAACAAATCCACGTGCACAATTAATCTGTCTCTAGTATCGGCCAGTTCAGATGTGAAAGAGTGCTACTAACTGTCAAAAATACAGGGGTATTTTATGAAAATATTATCTTTGCTTCCACATGTTTTAGCCAAAAACTCAATGGCAAGTAATTCTTCTTATGGAAAATTTTTCAGTCCTTTTCGGAAGCCTTGCTGTGACCTCTTAGCACATACCAGGACTCTAAAAGCCAGCTCCCTTTTGTTTTGTACTTGTCACCCCATAATTTCATTTGGTACGCTGTAGCTCTTGCATTAGCAGTGAGTAGTCAAGGAGTTATACTGAAGCAGTGAATAATCATTTCCCTATTTACATTCATTCCATGTGCAATTTTACAGATCTTTATCAGACTCCACTCAGACATCTCTTCCAGACAAAAGCTTCCACAAGGATGTATTCAATCCTACGACTGAACTTATCCCCTATCTTCAATTATCTTTACCTACCTTCTCTGAATCCCTTAAACTTCCCCTTTACCTGTTTCTGATGTCAGAGGACCACATCTGCCTACAATGTCCAAGATGCGCGCAAACCACAGCCTTCTGTAGCTAAATAATAATGCTCTGGTTTGTTCTCTTTTTGTACAACTGCTGAGCACTAAAATACTTTTTTTTAAGCAATGTTTATTATTACCCCAAGGTCTCACTCTAAGTTCACTTCAAAGCCCACCATTATATAAGCACTTTACAGAAATACATGTGTATACATATATAACCGTAAACGTGTGATCATCTCTGTCCCATGCTACACCTCTTTGGACTCACCTACAGTGAATATTATCCACTATTGTTTCATTCAGCTAGCTATTAGCATGAAGACTTTAAAGCTTCACTGATGGCACTTGTCTTTACTACAATATATCAGTCGATTTCACAAGAAAAATTCATCAGCTCAGCATTGACTGTTTATTTGATAGTTTATGATATGTTGAACACAGGCCCTAGCGAAAATACAAAGAAACTCCCCCTCACTCCCCTCTGTGCCAGGTGATCTTCTGCTTCCTATCTTTTAGCTAATTATTTACTCAAGCAATAACTTTCTTCTGCTGTGTTAGCTTGATTTCTTTACGAGCTTTCAGTGGTAAATCTTGTTGAATGCCTTTTGAAAACCTGAACATAGTTGAGAGCTTCCCAGTCAACCAACTGGTAGCTTATCAGGCATCTCTTAAAACTCTTTTTATAAAATAGCATTACATTAAGCCCATTTTAGTCCCTCCCACAGCAGAGCAGTTTTTAGGCCAAAGGCTATGCTCAGAGCAGCTGACTATGAAGCAGCGTGGCAGTGCTCGCTCTGCTTGTTCTACCACACTTCTTCAGCACTTCATACAATAGATATCCCCTTATAAACCCCCACAAAATAAAATAACATGGCTGGAGATACTTCTTAATGAACACAGACAGGAAATAAACCATTTTCATCTCTTTGCATTTGGCTTTTCTCCTCTGAATGCAGATCTTATACCTTGACTGCCTGAAAAAAAACAAAGGTGTGCAAAGGTCCCACCTCCCACGCTTCAAGGC